ATTGAGGGGGTGGCAGGATTGTTTAACCTGGGGTGTGGGGGAGAGGGAGCCAGAATGACTTCATCCCTTAAATCTGACCTGGCATGGAGCCAGATGTAGGGAGAGGGAGTGGCTCCTTTTTTCTCCTTGAGCACAGGTGCCTGTCCTAGGGGATCCCCTTTTATGAGCAACCAGACAGCTCTATTTCAAGCAGCAAGTTGCCCACCCAGGGAGGGGATGGGGTCCTGGCATCGGCAGCATTGCCTAGAGGCCCCTGAGTGTGGGATCTGGGCAGTGAGGTGGTGGGTGGGGACACACAGTGAGGTGCTGCCAACTCAGGCCATCGATCTGGAAACCACCCGGTTCTTCCTAACCTCAAACTAAGTCCCTCCCATTGTTCCCTAGAAATACCATCCAGGGCTCCTAGTTCCCTATTCCTGATGTAACAAATTACTACAAACTTAGTAACTTAAAGCAACATGCATTTAATATCTTACAGTTCTAAAGACCCCAACAAAGGTCTCACTGGCTAAAATCAAGGTGTGGGCAGGGCTGCATTCCTCATGGGGTGTTTAGGGGGAATCCATTTCCTTACCTTTTCCACCTTCTAGAGATCACCTGCATTGTTTGGCTCATGGCCCCGCAACATTCCGACTTCTGCTTCCTTCTCACTTTCCCCACTCTGACTCACTTGCCTCCCTCTTTTGCTGATGAGGACCCTTGTTGTGAGTATACTGGGCCCACCTGGATGATCCAGGGTACTCTCCCTATCTCAAGATTCTTAATTCAATCACATCTGCAAAATCCCCTTTTTACCATATAAGGCAACATTCACAGGTTGTGGCAGTTAGGACATAGACATCTTTGGGGGGACCATTATTCTGCCTACCACAGCATCCAGAAAGGAAAGTAGAATTTGTTTTTATTGCCTGGTTCCTCATGGGAAGTTCCTTTCCCCTGCTGAAATCTGTGAAGGGTGTACTTAGACCTACCTCTTCCAGGAATCCCTACAAGCTGCTTCTGCCCATACTTAGTAACTGAATTCCTACAATATATGTTCCGACTGAGCAGTTCGGTATTTTGTCCTGCACAACCCTCTTCTATGTGTTCACTTTGTCTTTCTGATGGTACTGTGGGCAACTTTAGGATAAATGACTTCTATCTCTTCTACAATTCCTAGCACAAGTAGTGGGTGCTCAGTTAAAGCACAGTGACTGATTGAGGGTGCATCCAGCCAGTCCTGGCATGGGCTTCCCAAGCCACTCTATATTCTTTCTCCTTTCCCCAAATCCTTCTTCCCAGGACTGAAAAAAAAGCAGGGTTGGAGTTAGAATGACAAACTTACCACCCCAAATGAGGGCCTAACCCCTCAGTCTTGGCCTTAGTTACCCCATATTCTATAAAGTGGGCTTTATATTTCATTTTAGTAATGGAACCATTCAAATGAAATCTAGTGGGAAGCCTTAATAATAAACGGACTGCTTGTCATAGGGGCGGGGGAACCCAAAGTGACCTGTGTGGCCAGAGTTCTGAGCAGTGTTATTCTAGCCCATGTTCAGGGGTCAAGATGAGAGTTCCCTCATTTGGCAGCTATTCTCACCTCTGGGGCCCACCATGGGGATATGATGTGTATCCTTGCAGGCAGAGCCCCCCTACCCCACAGCCTGCAGAGTACTGACCAAAGACTTGGGTGTGTCTCCTTCCTAGCTCCCCACAGCTACCACCACCTTTCAGAATGGCCAACAGAGGACCTGCCTATGGCCTGAGCCGGGAGGTGCAGCAGAAGATTGAGAAACAGTATGATGCAGACCTGGAGCAGATTCTGATCCAGTGGATTACCACCCAGTGCCGCAAGGATGTGGGCCGGCCCCAGCCTGGGCGTGAGAACTTCCAGAACTGGCTCAAGGATGGCACGGTGAGAGCTGGTCCCCTATGGCTGGATGTGCTGGGAGAGCAGGGCTGGGTCTGGGGTACTGGGGATTGTTTCACCTAAAGAACTGGGGGCTTACCTAACCCAACTTATTCCTGAGCCTGGAGAGGACTCATGCTTTCTTCCCTCCCCTTGAGAGAAGGGGAGGGTGAATGGGCCTCTCTGCTGTGGGAGGCCCCAAGTGACACACGGATGCCCCAAGGAAGAACTGCTGGGGGTATTCTCTAGTCAGTGATATTAAAATAGTGAGGTTTTCACTCTGGCCTCAGAGGCACGGGCTGGCCTGGAAGAGCCTGAGGCTTACTCCAGGTGTGTTCAGGTAGGAGAGAAACCTCTGTGGTTCTGTGTCTCTGGCGTGGGGGTGGCGCATTCTGATCTTCAGTAGTCATGGCCTCATCTCTGCACACTTCATGCTCACCCAGGTGCTGTGTGAGCTCATTAACGGACTGTACCCTGAGGGGCAGGCCCCAGTGAAGAAGATCCAGGCCTCTACCATGGCCTTCAAGCAGATGGAGCAGATCTCTCAGTTCCTGCAAGCAGCCGAGCGCTACGGCATCAACACCACCGACATCTTCCAGACCGTGGACCTCTGGGAAGGTGGGCCTGGGCCTCAGTGCTGTCCTCCAGAAGACCAGAGACTGGGCTGGGCCACTGTGACCAGGGAGAAGGGCCAGGTTTCTGGCACTCTGAGGACAGAGTGCCATGTGTGCGACATAGGCATGTGTGCGCTCGCGTGTGCTTGTGTTTTACGGAGTTGACCGTGCCGGGGGCTGGTATGGAAAAGGGTATGGGGATAAAGAGGAAAAGAATTTGGATCTGGGCCTGCTGACTTAGTGATAGAGGTGGAACTCTGGCCTCCAGGACCCCAGCTCTGCTGAGGCCAACACCCCCCTTCTCCTTCCCAGGAAAAAACATGGCCTGTGTGCAGCGGACGCTGATGAACCTGGGTGGACTGGCAGTGGCCCGGGATGATGGGCTTTTCTCTGGGGATCCGAACTGGTTTCCTAAGTGAGTATTGCTGGGGCTGTCCAGGTCCTGTCCCTAGAAAACAACTGACCCCCTGTAGTAGCTGGCCTATTACAAAGTACTTTAACATTCTTCATCTCCTTCATCCCCTGACACGGGACTGTCCCATTTGAGAGAGGAAGAGGTGGCTTCAGAGAGCTCAAGGACAGAGCTGGCAAAGCCTGTGTTCTGTCCAGGGAAAACATTACTGGGGCAGCCTCAGCCTCCTCCTAACCAGCACTCCCTCTCCACTTAGGAAGTCCAAGGAGAACCCTCGGAACTTCTCAGACAACCAGCTGCAAGAGGGCAAGAACGTGATTGGGTTACAGATGGGCACCAACCGCGGGGCGTCCCAGGCAGGCATGACCGGCTACGGGATGCCGCGCCAGATCCTCTGATCCACCCCAGCCCTGCTCCTGCCCTTCCTTGGATGGTTAATATATATATATATATATATATATTTTAGCAGTGACATTCCCCAAGAGCCCCCTAGAGTTCTCACACTTTCCTCTGCCAGGGTGAGGGCCTGGCCTGGTGTGTCTCCTCTGGGGGTGCCCAATGGCGGCCTCTCCCCCTGTGCTTACTAATACATTCCCTTCTCCAAATCCACAAAAACTGGACCAACTGGCCTCTTTTTCCCTGGGACCAAAATTTAGGGCCTTTTCCTCCTCCAGACCTCCTCTCCCCTGATCTCTGTGCCTTCAACCCATTCCATGGCTGGGGGTCAGCGACGCTGCCTTCGGGCCTTCCACAAATATGCCTCCCCCACAGCTGTGGCTGCAGGGAATTTATAGGGAGGGGTCTGTGGCAGCTGCCACCCCTGCCACAGCTGGACTGGGCTCACCACACATAGGCAGCCTGCCCTGGCAGAGGCCCTCTTGGCTTCTCATTTTCCATTCCCCTCGCTGTGGCTAAGGGGTGGGATGAGGGGAGGGAGGGCTGCCCATTATGGGCTGGGGCTTGAAGAATCTGAGTTTGCTGATTTAAATAAAGAATCTCCCTTTTTTTGGATGGACTCTGGCTGTGTCTGGGGCCACTGAGCCCACTGTTGGAGAGGGAATATGGAGGGAGTGCAGTGACTGAAGAATATGGGGCGGGGGCGTTTTGAGATGAAAGGTTGCAATCCTCACCCCCATCTTTGATTTCCTTTATCTTTCTCCTTTGGTTTAGGTGAGGGTAGGTTGGGGTTGAGAAGGGACAGGCCCTCTCAACTCCTCTTGGGCTAGGAGCCATAATGCAAGATATGTGGGCAATGTCCACAGGGAGTGGGGCCTTCACTCACCCAAGGAATTGGGCAGTTCTGCCAGGTGCACCTAGCTGGGCTTCTTCCACCCTCCAGAACTGCGTCTCAGTCACTGCAGGGGGGTGGGGCTGGCTGTTGGTACAGCCCTGGGTACTGGCAAGTCTCAGTGGGGAGGCCCCTCATACAGGCTTGGGGCAAGATGGCCAGACTAGCTTGGAGCCCCAGGCAGGGGTTTCCATGGTGAAGAACTGGCAAGCTCGGGAATGAGCAGGGAGTGGGTTGTGGTGGCTGGAAGGAGGAAGGCTTGTTGATTGATCCCATGAATGTGTGAGCTGCTTGCTGGGGAGAGACTAGCAGCAAACTTCTCTTCTAGCCTTGGACCAAGATAATCAGGTTTTGGAGTCAGGTGGTTCCAAGCTCCTAGCCCTCACCCAGGCATGAATGTTCTACCCTTAGTTTCTAACCTCTGGTTTCTCACCTTTACTCCATGGCCCTCCCGTCAGACCCTGTGTCAGAGGAGAACTTGAGAGAACCTGGGTCAGCCTCCCATATCAGGTCCCACTCCAGTCAGCCAGCCCAGCGGCCTGGCCTCCATTGTCTCACCCCCGCTTTCTACTTCCAGGCATCTGTTTCCTTAGGGAGGCGAAAGCCTCGACATTGTGCCTGTGACAGATTATGCAGATTTGATAACCAGTGAGCTTGTATTCTTTCTCCCACCATTCCCCTGCCCCACTGTGGCTCCCTTTGCCAAGAAGCACCTACTGTGCGGCAAGCCCCTGCTAGGGCTGTACAGGAGAGGTCAGCCCAGTGTCTCAGCCTGATGGGACACCACGTCAGCAAGAGATGGTATTGGCTTGCTGGCTGCAGTCCTTGGGCTATGGCAAAGATAAGGTAGGCTGCTGCCGATGTGCAGATTCCCAGGGGATTAACCATCCTTCCACCCCCTTTATCTCCCAATCTGGAAGGTTTTGTGGAATGCCACTGAAGGACAGTGATGTCATTACAGAGAAAACATTGAATTTGCTGGTATTTATACTGAAAACAAACCATTTGCACCTTCCCTAATTTAACTATAGCTGTAAATTACTGGCCACCTGCCTCGGGAGTTCATGAGACAGCATGCTAAAGAGCCTGTGAGCCCAGCCGGGTGTGGCTCAGCAGTTGGCATCAACCTAGGATCCAGGAGATCGGGGTTCGATTCCCGGTCAGGGCACATGCCCGGGTTGCAGGCTCAATCCCCAGTGGGGGGTGTGCAGGAGGCAGCAGATCAGTGGCTCGCTCTCATCATTGATGTCTCTCCCTCTCTCTGAAATCAATAAAGATATATATATATTAAAAAGAGCCTATGAGGTAGATATTACTGTATTCCTCCATTTTGTTTCCAGATGAGCACACTGGGTCTTGGGGCAAGAAATTTGCCCAAGGACACTTAAAGAGTAAGCGGAGGGACAGGGATTTGAGCCCAGGTCAACCTGACTAGGAGTCTGGCTAAATCTGTGCTGTTCCAGGCTCAGCAAGAAGAAGGGCTGCAGGGGGATGACGGTGAAAAAAGGTGTTGAATAAACGAATGAGTATCACACTGCTCCCGTGTGGCTGAGTCCCCTGGGCTGGCGACCCCCCGGCCCTACCAGCCCAGGATCTCAGCAACCCTCCCATCACTGGCCCTGCCTGTCAGTTTCCAATGCTTCCCCAGTGTTTGTTTCCAAAAGGAAAAGCCCCGAGAAGCCAGTGCCCCCTGCAGCCGGAGGAGTGGAGGCTGGGGAGGGGATGGAGAGTGGGGTGTTGCTCTGGGCAGATGGAAGGTGCATCGAGGACTTGGGGGGAAATGGGAGGGGGGCAGGAGGAAGAGAGAGGAGCCAACTCTGGTTCATTTACTCCTTGCCTTCAGCCTTGAAGTAGAAATCGCTGGAGGTGGAGAGGAAGGAGGCTCGGCTCTTCGTGGCCAATGGGAAGGAGAGTTGGAGGGGAGGCCGAGGGCCGGCTTCGGGCTCCGCCTTGCTTGGCTCGCTGCAGGCCTGTGCGGTTTATCCCTGTGCACGTGAGTGTGTCCAGGTGTGTGAGAATTCATAGGACTAGGCTCAGGTGGGGGGCATGAGTCTGTATGGAGGCTGCCTGTGAGCATGTGTTTACTGAGGCCTGGGGACTATGGGTTCAGAGAGGTATGAGTACTGTGTGGTGGGTGTAAGAATCTGGTGGCACATGGCTCCCTGGAGAACAGTATGTCCCATTCCTACCTCTACAGCCCAGAGAGGCCTTTGAGAGCTTGGCAAACAGCCCAAGGAGCAGTGGAACAGGGAAAGGGCCGGACCATAGGGCCCCAGGGAGGGAACAATAAAGTGCCCCGGATCATATTTGTTGAAGAGAGGGCTAAAGGGTAAATTAGTAATTGTCTCCTCACAAAGAAATACGGTTTAGTCCCAATGGCTATGGCGGTAGATGAAAAGAAAATGCACTGAAGTTGTATCTAGAGAAATTTAGGTTAGATGGAAAAATTATCCTGACTCTGAAGGCTACTAGCCTCCAGAATCTCTGAAGGGTCAGGAGGAAGGTCTTCAACAATAGGACAAATCCCATCTTCTAAAGGTGGGAAATGGAAAATTCTGCCTGGGAAAGCTCATATACACCCATTTCTTAATTCATGTATTCGTCCATTCAAGAGTTGTTGGGGTTCTACTCTGTCAGGCCTGGGAGATATGAAGATTAATATATGATCCCTTTGCTCAAATAGTGCACAGTCAGTCCTGCAGGGATGAAACACAGCAGCTATGGTTACTGAGAAAGATAGTGATATGCATCTCTGGAGGAATGCAAATAGGGCTCTTCCCAAAGGATCAGCCACCAACCTCCCTGTCCTGGGTCGTTTCCAGAGTGGAGGCTGGTGGTGATGTCATGGCAAGTTGAGGCTGCCTATCTCAGGGATCCTTTCCCCTGATCTGCCCAGGGCAGTGAGGCTGCAGGTTAGGGGAACTCCTCCAGAAAAAGGAGCAGTCACTGGCTCTATGGTCAGAGATGAAGTTTCAGGAGGGGTTGAGAGGATATTCCTTTCCTGCCTGCTGTGGGGGAGGGCAAAGAGGCCTGAGTCAGGGTGGGGACCAGGGATTGGACAGGGACAGATCAACATCACTGGGGAGGGGAAACGGGAGGGTCGGACAAACATCCCCAGGGTTGTCATACCATTTCACCCACTGTTGGCAGGACCAGAATTTTGAATTGTGTTTCCATGGGAAAGATGTGGCCAAGTATGGGAATGAACCATGCTGCTGATGGTATTTATTACCACTTTTCTGCTAGTCAGTGTGCTAGAGCTTAACCTATAGTTTTTCTTTCATTATTTCAAAAAATATTTCTTGAGCACCCATTCAGGGCAAAGCATCTGCTGGGTGTTGGGGGATATAGCAGCAAACAAGACAGATAGAGCCCGGCCGGTGTGGCTCAGCAGTTGAGAATCATCCTACGTATGATTCAGGAGATCATGGTTTGATTCCCCCATCAGGGCACATGCCCGGGTTGTGGGCTCAATCCCCAGTAAGGGGCGTGCAGGAGGCAGCTGATCAATGACTCCCATCGTTGATGTTTCTCTTTCCCTCTCCTTCTCTCTGAAATCAATAAAGACATATTTAAAAAAAAAAAATATATATATATATATATATATAGTCTCTGCCCTCCTGGGAGGAGCTAGAAAAGCAAAGAGCCAGTTGTGATATAATGTGATGTGGTGTGATGAGAGTCTGGGTACTGAGAACTCACAGGAAGGGGCTTAACACGAGGGATGTTGGTGAAAATTTCTGGAAGATGATGATGTCTGAACTGAGGATTTAAGGACATTTGGAAGCATGAAGAAGAGGCCAGTGGTGGTGAGGCGCGTTCCAGGCAGATGTGCGGTATGTGCACGGGCTGGAAGTGGGACTGTACAGCACTGGACTGTAGAATGTATGTGTCTACAGGTGTGCGGGGTGAGGTGCTGAGAAATGCCATCGAAAAGGGGAGACAGGGCCAGATCATACAAGGAGCTTCAAAGTCAAATGAATAATTTTGGACATTTCATTACGGGCACAGGGAGCCACTGGAGGATTTTATGCAGGGGAATGACGAGATGAGAGTTGTGCTCTCTTTAGAAAATTTCCTTAGACTGAGGAGTAGAGAACAGTCTAGGGTTGGGGAAGATACTGAGGCACACAGGCTTGAGGAGGAGTCCAGGCTGAAGTGAGAGTGGCCTGGGTTAAGGGGAGGGCCAGCAGGGATGGATTTCAAAATTGTTTAGTGCTCTCGGTTGATTGTGGAGCATTAAGATGGGAGAGAGGTCCAGAAAGACAGGCTACTGGCTTCAGCGACTAAGCAAATTGTGTTGTCTGTTGCTGGGATGGGAAATCCAGGAGAAGGGGCTTGAGTTCACCACAAATTTCAGAGGGGCTAACGTGGGGCAAGAGTAGGTTTATAGTTGTTGGTATGGAAAATAATACAATAATTAATAAATAATAATACAAGAATAAACTCTGTGTTTCCAGTACTCATAACTGCACACCTACTTTCACCCAACCGTATTATTCTCTCCCATTTCACAGATGAGGAAACTGAGGCTAAGTGAGCAAAAGTAACTGTAGAACCCAGCTAGTGGCCTGACATGGGATTTAAACCTATGACAAAATAAGCCCAAGCTAATTTGCTCTTCCTATCATAGGGCTCCCCTGTGAGGTGGCTGACCCTGGGGAAGGATTTGGTCTGCAGCCAACATGAACTGCAATTTTTCCGTGGGTGGAGGCCAGGGCCACAGTGAGGAAGGGAGAGGTCAGGCCTGGAAGAGGTGCAGGAAGTTCAGTTTTGCAGGAGCCGCCCCTTTAAGCCCAATGAAGATCTGGCAACTTCAGAAAGGAACTAATGGAGAGAGCCCGAGGCCCAGCCCCTGGATCCCGCAATTTAGGGTTTCTGTCCTCAAGGCTCCCTGACCTTTTGGAGCCCCCTGACAACCCAACTTTTACCTCCAGCAATAAAAGCCACCACAGCCACCAGGACAGTATCTGAGAGTTTTACTTTCAGGGCACTTCCGTAGGTAATAATTCCAGGGAGACTCATCCCCTCTTGGGGAGGATTTTGTACTTTTATACTCTTTGGAGAGAAGGGAGAAACTGAAACCTAGAGACTGGTATGCCAGGACCCAGGGTTCTTGAGAGAAGAAAGCATACCATGTGTGTCTTCATATGGCTCAGGGTTTCAGAATAGTCCCTGGCCCAGAAGGAGCTCCATCGGTCTGTGGTTTTAAACTGGTTCTGCATTTACTAGAATCCAGGTGCCTGGACTCCTGGTTACTCACTGGAAGTTGAAAGGACCCAAAGTCAAGCACCCCTGGGGCTGGGGCTGGCTGTAGACTCTGTGGGCACAGGTGTTTGGGACGCCCCAGGCTCTATCCTGTATCTTCCCCCAACCTGCCACAGGGAGTCCCAACTTTGTGAAAAGTGTTCTGCTCTCTAAGTGGTGGCCTCAGCTGCACGGAGTCACCTGGGCGCTGGTTAGAAATGCAGATTAAGTTAGTTCTAGGCTGAGAATCTCCCGTGGAGGCCTGGGGGTGGTGCCTTAAATTTGCATTTTAACCCCCCCCCCC